TCCAGCAGCTATCTCAATCAATCGTCAGTTATGGAAAGATCGGGTTCCAAAGGCCGGATCCCTTGTGAATCAAGTCACGAAAAGTACAAAATCGGCAACAGGCAATGGGCCTATTTCTTCAATGCCGACACTTCTATTCTATTCATGATAAAAATAAAAACTGTGTATACGGTCATTCTACACTTGAGCATCTAATACAGCTGTCGCATTTAACTCGGCAAATAAGCAATTACATAAACCCTAAAAAAAATATAACTCAGTACTCACTGCAGTGAGTAACAGAGCGCATTTTATCGTCGACGAAAGCGTGAAGTCACGGACAGACAGACGGACGGACATGACGAGCACAATAGCGCCTTTTTAGCGCATTTTCTCATTTATGGCAAAAATGCACTATTGTGCTCGCCATGTCCGTCTGTCTGTCTGTCTGTCTGTCCGTCCGTTAGTGACCTCAAGTTTACGTCGACGAGAAAATGCGCTCTCTGTCACTCACTGCAGTGAGTACTGAGTTATATTTTTTTCCATAAATGAGAAAATGCGCTAAAAACAGCAATGTCTACAGTGACCTCCAGTGAGCTAAGAAAACTACTAACAAAGAAAACTACTAACAAAATCAACTAACCCGGCCAAAAGTCAGGTTGCATGTTTTATAAGTCAACGAAGTCTCATACACGTACTGATAATAACCAGTATAGAAGCGTAAATTATGTCAAGTTCTTATTTCACTATTAACAACAATGAAAACTGTATATCCGAAGATGCAAGTATTCATTCGTTTGCCTTAATGATGATAGTAACATAGCTATAGTGAAACGATAAAACGACATAAAAATTTAAAATTATAAGAGTTTGAAAAAATAAACAATGTATTAGTGGTCGAAGTGTTTACTTTAATCAAAACAACTTATGATTAAATCGAACCCATACACACATGTCAGACGAACGAGTCCACGAGTCATAGACATATAAAAATCCCCTGCCATAGTTCCATCATTGAAAAATCTTGTTTGCAAGGCACGCAACTTGTAACTAAAAGTCCAACAGTTCTACCGCCCAATATATAGTAGAATAAATGTCTGAAACTCGTACATATTTCTGCGACCTCGTTGAGAGCACATGTGTTCTCGTACAAATTAATGACGACAGGACATCAGCAGTACCATGATAATGTTGTTGATTTTAATGTATGTTATGAGAGAGCCAATCAATGAATCAATGAATATATCGTACCCAGAAGAGCAGGAACTGTATGGTACATTTGAACTACGTATTTGTGTATACATATTCAGTGCATTGCGTAAGACATCGCTAATAATTTTACGGTAGCGGGAACAATGGGTATTAACAGACAAATTTTTTCTTTTTAATGAAAGATTGACTAGAAATGAATGCTCCTCCAAGAAATGCCATGCATTGTAAATCTTGCCAGCAATCAACAGAATACTTTGGTCAAAAATTTACATTATTTAAACGCCGATACTTGTTTAAAGTCAGCGAACAAAATGTACGACGCGAGAGACAAAAATCTCTCTTGTGATGAAACAGTACTTAGAACATAAACAATTTTCCGGTACTTGGATACATCTGAGGCAGAAACGTAACGAAAATCTCCAACATTTTTCTTTTGTTATACATAATTTCCAAGGTATAGTTGAGGTTTAACCAAGTGAATTTTCGAAACTTAATAGAAACGGACCTAATGAAAAAATGGCTAGAAAAAACACTGTCCATATAAAACTATTTTTAAGACATTAACTGAGAAAGTGTTAAAACTAAAGAGAGGAAAGTTTTTACGTGCCTGTTCTAAGCTTAGTGTAGGTCTGAATCAAAAAAATTAATTCGAGTTCGATGATGGTACAGGCGCACAGCTATGAGTATGATTGAGACGAAGCTTATTTTATCGCAGTGGTCACTGGTGCGTGTTACTACAGGTTAGGTGAGAAAGTGCCCCGATCCGATTCAATGGTTCAAATTTGAAAGACTAAGGAAATAACAGATCATTACCATTTTTCATAACGATGAGTTTTTTAAAACTTATGAATACCCTAGTAACCCTACAGCTACAGGTAAATCTTGGAGACTGATTCCACAATCGGCGGTTCTAAAAAACAAATCCTTGTTTTTTTTTCAAAATACTGAACCTAGTCCAGAAGAATGAGCCCCATGTACGCGAAAGAAAATATATTTGTTTTAAGAACAGTACACTTACCAAAGGAAATGAGGTTAAAGATGTGTTCATAAATAAGATAAATCTACAAGTGGAGTGCTGAAACTGTCAAGTTTCAAAGTTAACGACGAGCAAGCTAGCGAGCAAGTGAGTTTAGGTAGGAACCACCACTCCACAACCACACCAACGTAGCTTCGGCACGCAACTGAACTGTTGCACAGTTGCACTTCAGTTCCACGGCGCTGGCGTAACAGTCTCTTCGGCATCGGCGATGCTTGCCAACCCTGAAGCGGCACAACTGATTTTTTTGTAGATGCCAACAGGACCTGGCTGCTGGCTTTGTTTTAAGCTCCAGGGTGTATGCTTCCCAAGTATCATGATTGAGCTCCAAGCTTGGCGGCACCGGCGCTTAGTTCATTAAATATTCGCAATATTTCGTCATATTACTAGATTACTCGATTTCGAAACAAGAACCAACACCAGTGGCCACGGCTATAAACTAAAAACTGCTATGCAACTAGTCCACGCGACAACATTTCTTCTCGCTTCGAATCACCGACATGTGGAACAGCCTTCCTGATTACATCGTTGGCGCTCAGAGTATGAACGCGTTCAAGAACAGACTAGATCAGTGGTTCCCTAAGTGGGCGATATCGCCCCTCTAGGGGCGGTGGCAAGATTTTGGGGGGCGGTACGGAAGAAGAGGGCGGTAGGGGGGCGGTAGGGGGGGCGGCAGTCCGGAGTCGAAGTTCGAACGTTTGTTTTACGATTTGTACACAACACGTGCAGCACATGACTCCCAGCGATGTTTTTTTTACCCAGATCTGTTATTTTTTAACCTCTCCTGGATTTACGTCTCTGATAAATTAACGGCCGGACTCGCGGCCGGTCTCACAGCTAATTTCCAAATTCAATGATCAAGCAATATCTCCCACACTAATGAACTAAACTCGATGAAACTTGGTACACGTATTCATTAGGACCTAACGATAATGTTTTGCTCGTGAAATTTTTTTGAATTTTGCCCTCATTAGTTTTTGCCATAGTTATATGGCAATACGGGCCGAAATTCACCGTGATCGAGGAATTTCTTCCAAACTACGGAACAGATTCCAACAAAATTTTGAATTTACAGTCCTAACTACCGAACGGCAATGTTTCGCTCGTGAAAATTTTTCGATTGTGCCTTCGTTCGCGAGTTTTTTTTTTTTTATTTCACCTTCATTCGTGATTTAGACAGCAATACGTGCTTAAATTCCCAGTAATCAAAAAATTTCTTTCAAACTACTGAACAGATTTGAACGAACCTCAGCAACGGTGATGTTTAGCTCGTTACAATTTTTTTGATTTTGCCTTCGTTTGCTAGTTATTCGGCTTACGTAAACGGCTATACGTAACCAGCTCTTGGTTAAACCAGCCGCTAGAGTCTAGACAATGCCTGTCGTTTCTCCTATATCAGTATAACTCGCGAACGAAAGCAAAATAGAAAAGTTGTCACGAGCTAAACATCACCGTTGGGAGGTTAGGTATTTATATACAAAGTTTCGTTGAAATCAGTAGTTTAGAAGAAATTTTTTGATCGCCGCGAATTTAAGCGACAAATTACCCGGCGATACGGGCCGAATATAAGGAAGTGTGAAATCGAGAATGACGGTGAAATAAAAAAAAATCGAAAACGAAGGTAAAATACAACAATTTTTAGAAGCTAAAAAAAATTACCGTTTGGTAGTTAGGGATGTATATTCGAAATTTTGTTCAAATATTTTCAGTAGTTTGGGAAAAATTATTTGATCACTGCGAATTTCGGCCTGTATCGCAATATAACTCACGAATGAAGGAGACATTTAAAAAATTTCACGTGCTAAACATCACCGTTAGGTTCTGATGAATATATGTTCCAAGTTTCATTGAGCTGTAAATTTGCCCGAGACGTCCTAGGTTTCTAATGCTGAAACAGTTAAAACGGCTGAAAAACATATTGGTTCACTAAATGGGGTTCTATTTGTGAAATGCACATTTGTGTTCAACCTTTATCTTTTAAAATTGTAGCGTACTAAATTTCAAAAAAGAGGCGTATGTTTTTATACGTGTCTGTGGGGGGCGCTAGATATTCAATGGGGAGCCAAAAGGGGCGCCAGCCTGAAAAAGTTTGGGAACCACTGGACTAGATAAAGCTATGGATAAATATATGTTCAGATTTGAAATGCCTAGCACCATATCGAACCCGGTGGAAGTCTAGTAGCTATTTCAAACTATCGTCAGTAATGAAAATATCCGGTCAAATGACAAGATTTAGATCTTCTATATGAACAAGTCACGAAAAGTTCAAGAATCGGCGACAAGCCATATCAGATGCCGTACTTTCAAAAATCGTTAAGTGAATGTAAGTACTTAAGCTCTATTTTCTTGTCCATGGTTGGTGGATTTTGCTTAAAAGGCCGTCAATGGTTAGTTCATGGAATACGATTTCTTGACTTTTTTTGAAAGTATGGGCCCAGGCCTACTCTTTAGCGCCGACATCACTATGTAATGTTATGTAATATTTCTCAACATTGAGGCGCACAGTTGCCATATTTTTTTAAGCCAATAGTTCGTTATTTTACAATACAAGCAACACAACGAGGTTGTGAATAGACACACACGGTAACTAACAATTTTGCTAAGCCCAGTTCGTGGCTTCACATGTCTCGCAACGTTTTCAAATTTGTGACCGTAATCTGCACCGTTTGGTCGAACTAAACTTTAGAATTTCATAATAACATACCGACTATAAGATGGATAGATAGTTGATTGCATGAATTGTTAAATAAGAAGACGGGAAAATGAAACAAAGTAAGCTTGAGTTTTATTATTTGGGAATATATAAACACGACCACATGGCTTCTTCATTTGTGGGTCGCAGCCGACAGTCGTAGTTCGTTTTTCAAATAAAAGGCATAGGAAAATATCACATTTCTACAGTCTGAAACTGGAAAACTATGACCAAAATATACAAAAACATTAATCATCTCGAGTCAGGAAACTTCTCTACAAAATCTAAAGGCTATGGTTCAGTAACATCATACATAGGTACTAAACATCACAACTGGCACCGAACAACATTTAAATAGAGACCTAGTGTTCGAAGTTGCGATTTTTCGAAGAGAAAACCAAAGAAGAAATTCACGCACCAGAGACTCCGAAGGAATGAATTCAATTAGTCTTATAGAGATAAAATTCTTCCAGAGGCTTTATAATAATGGAGAGGAATATTGCAACAGCTCTTTGGTTCGAGTATGCCCTTTGTGTGAGGAAAACGCGGTTATCGTCACGCCTTAAGTAAGATTAGGCTAACTTGAGTGAACAAGTAGAGTAGTTATTTGGTTGAACTTTCCTGTAATGCTATCACTACCTACGTTGCGAGATAGGTAGTTTAACTCAACCGTACTAGATGGAAAATGCATATCATATTTCGGTTCAGTTTCTCTTATCTAAAAATGCACTTCGTAGCAGAAAACTAGTCTGTAGAATTGCAATGCACGCATCCATTTTATCCATGTGGGCGCTAACTTTTTAGCGAACGAAATATTTTAACTAAGAATTTTTATTTAAGTGCACTACAACGAAATTTTCTAGCAAATATTGCAACTTGGTCTTCCAAAAAAAGTATTCAAAAATAGAAGCTTCATCTTGAAAAAAAAATCGCATGATTGTACATATCATCTTTGAAAATAATCCTCATTTGCCAGAGAACAAGTTTCATTTTGTTGAACAAATAAGGATTTAATATATAAATACGAGGGAAGTTTAAAGCGTCAAGACTCTGTTATCTCACTAACTATCGGCCATTTTTCGGTATGAGATCCCAAGTCGAAACACTGCAGTTCAGCATGCACTTATATTCCTTGAAAAAATCGCGGTTTTGATCAAAGATAATCAACTTTGTCAGGTTCAAAGCAATGAATTTGATTTTTTTTTCTATTGAAATCAATTTTCATTCGATATGTGGACGCGGCAATTTATTAGACTGAAAAGTTATTATATGAAATGCTGATACGTTCAACATAGCTCGAAGACATTCTATGGATGGCGAGGCATGACATTTTTCATTATAAATTATGCATAATGAATTGAATAAACCAGTCCGTCGTGTACAGTAGAGAAGCAACATTTTTATGCGATATTTACGAGATAAAAGAATAGGATAGTTGATGTGTTTCAGCCTAATTGATATTGCTCAAACAGCGGCTCCATGCGCTTAGTTCTGCGGCTTTAGAACTGCCACGCTGTAGTGAAGTTTCTTGGCCCGTAGATAGCTGAACGAATTGTCGAACTGAACGATATCTGGAAGAAGAATATTGGTTAGAATGATGACTGCATATCTGACACTAAAACTTTATATAAACAAATATATAAAATGTTTGAATTATATTTGAAACTAAAATGTTTTCATGCTCTTTGTAAGGTTGTGAATCAAAGCGAATAATTCATTTGATGTATCAAATGAATGCTTCAACACAATTTTTTTTGTGTTCAAGTGAAGTGAAATTGAACAAAAATTAGACAAAATAACCTCAGTTTAATAACAATGCCGCTCAAAAGACTCATAATTTTAATAAATTTATTAATTTTTATGATGGCTTATTGCTGCTAAGCTACATTTACAAGTACCTAGAGATCGACAAGCTACCTCTTCTTCTTCTTTAATCTTTATAATGTTAATCTTTATGATGGCTTATTGCTGCTAAGTTCCACTCACAAGTGCCTGGGGATGGACAAACGACCTCCCCTTCTTCGGGGACCAGATGGCTGTTGACCCTGTGGGGGGCGACCAGGTGGTCGTCGGGGAAGTCCTGCTTGTAGATGCCGAAGGATATATCGTAGTCCTCCGTCTCGAACTCCCACCTGTAGGACGGCACAGACATAAGCACGAGAGCACTATAAAAAATGTTTCTGGGCCCATACTTTAAAAAAAAGTAAAGAGATCGTAAGTTCATCAGCCAATCATTGACGGCCTTTCAAGCAAAATCCACCAATCATAGACAATAAAATAGAGCGTAAGTACTTACGTTCACTTTACGAGTTTTGGAAGTATGGCCACAGGCGGGTCAGCGAGCAGTGATGGTCGTAGAACTACTAGTGGCATTAGTGCCAGGAAAAACTGACCTATATCACCCCCTCACTTACCTAGTCGCCTCTACCATAAGGGCAATTACACACATACGAGAGCACTATTGTTCGCACGCAATAATGGTGCTTAAAATAAACAGCCAAGCTCAACTGAACTACAATTATGTTTAAGTAGAGACAATTTAAATAAAATCTGAACCGACTCGACCAAACATGAAATCGCTCAGTAAACGTTAATTTGCCAAATTATTTCCAGGAGTAACAAAGATTAACGAGAGACAATAATTGTTGCAAACCTCAAGTGAAAGAAAACACTTCAGACAAGGAAAAGAAAAGACAAAATAAGAATTTAATGATCATTTTGAACGTGAAATGATCTTTATCTGAATTTTGATGGCTAAAAAAAACGAACAAATATGCGAATTTAGCAACCACTGATGATACCAACTTGAAAGTTAAGAATAAAATGCAGGTATTAAGTTAATTCAGGGCTGGGATGCTCACAATATCCTGAAAAATGCAGATATTCAATTGGCGAAAGTATGTATTTACTTGATAACTGAATTAGGCTCGGTAGTTGTGAAGCTGAGCTTTTCGTTGCCGCCCTTGGGGACCGTGATGGTAGTGAGGTGCTGCCTGTTCTCTTTAGCTTTATTCTTGAGGTAATATTCTTTGGGAACAGCGCCTCCCAGGCACACCTGTTAACATAAACTAAGTTAATGCCTGATGTACAATTAATAATAATAATATATTAGCTGTTTCAGCGTTTATTAGGCCGTAGGCCTGTCGCCGATTCTTAACATCGCAGAACATTCACAGCTTGTTGCGGTCTCGAACTCGCCACTCACTGCTACAATTCTGCTGTGCTAAACCGCCCGGCCTCCTTGCCGATTCTGACCAGAAACTGGCGCACAGAGCTGGGATCGAACCCGCGCCTCTCTGCTCCAGTCTTGGTACTCTGAACTGTAACCACTGGGCCACCCTGGACGAAATTAGTGGAGCAATGATTGTCTGATTTACTTGGATACGGAAATTCATACCTGGAGCCAAGTACAAATAAATGTGATCGCACAGTGAAATAATTAGAATTCATATATTCAATTTGAGCAAATAAACACGGAATATTCATGAATTGTTATGACTCATGAAGAGACGAACATCCACTTAATAGCAGAAATGGATGCATTTTCAGGATTGAAATATTGGGGATTGAACGGCTTTCTAAATGAAATTGAGGAGTGAAACATCCTAAGGGTTAAGTTAAAAAAAAAATACGAAATAGGTCGCGACTATTATTCAATACTTGGACAAATTGTCGTTGTAAGAAATTTGCGCTGCCATTTCTCAACAACAAAAATAATTCCTCATCGTTCACAGGAATTCATAGAGACACAGGAATTCAACTGACGTCACTCACAACTGTCGTCACTCACAACTGTCGTCACTCACAACTGTCGTCACTCACAACTGCCGTCACTCACAACTGTCCACAACTGTCGTCACTCACAACTGTCGTCACTCACAACTGACGTCACTCACAACTGCCGTCACTCACAACTGATGCCACTCACAACTGACGTCACTCACAACTGACGCCACTCACAGCTGACGTCACTCAAAACTGACGCCACTCACAGCTGACGTCACTCACAACTGCCGTCACTCACAACTGCCGTCGCTCACAACTGTCGTCACTCACAACTGACGTCACTCACAACTGACGTCACTCACAACTGACGTCACTCACCAGTGAAGGACACATCTCGTTGCCGTCAGGATCTACCCTGTTGCCGCCCCAGTGCTTGGGCAGGACTTCAGCGTCGATGTCCTGAAGGATCTCTTCCTGCCAGCCGCTGCGACCGAAAATTTTTATTTTGTTGATGGTTGCCTCGTGGAGGAAAGGCTTCACTAGCGTGAAGGCCACCGTGAAAATTTTCGGAGCTGTTAAGGGGGAACTTCATTAATGGTCATTGTTAAGTTATCATTGTGAATAGTTATTGTATTGTTTCTGATAGGCGTGGATGCATAATTCATAGAATTACGGTTTCAATAACTTTTTGCACCTGTTATGTAAAACAGCATCAGGGCAACAAATGATTTGCTGCTGTTCAACATGAATGTAAAATGTAAATACTTTGAAACAAAATATGCAGAAATTTCATTTGCGTTCATAGGATGCGTTAATGTACAGGAATTCCACAATTCCGTCAGCCCAAATTTAAATTTTCGCAAGAATTAATTTTTTTTGAGCGCATCTCGACCCATACGGTTATTTCTAAAGGCGTCATTTTTTCAGCGGAGGCAATTATTTGAAAATAAAAATAAATTGTAAGATATCATAGAGGAAAAGGGACAAAAATATATTTTCTTGGTTCTCTCTGTTCAAGCATTAACAACTCGCTCTAGAATCGTTCAATGTTTCTATCCTTAAAACAATACAAAATGAAACACGTCTTACACTGGCAGAAAGATATCTCGCCAGGTATAACAAATCGAAGTAGTAGTAGTAGTAGTAGAATGGTTTGCTAGCGCTTCAGCTATCAAGCTATTTCGCAACGAAGGTAAAAATTTATAATAGCGCTATCAAGGCGAAAGGTCTCATTTACTCAAAATATAAAATTATTCATCACCCACAAGGGGCGGAAGGTCTCAATTGTCCAGCCCGCTGAAGCTGGCTCGAAAAAAGCAGCGTTAGCATCTCAAAGAGACGAAGTGACAAGGAGGGACAGGTGACAAGGAGGGACAGGTGACAAGGAGGGACAGG